GCACGGCACGGCAAAGGATTTTATTTTTGATCAAGTTATTTTTATCCTTATTTCATCGAGGTTAGAATTCATATTACTTTATTTCGATACAATTATACCGCGGCACGTCGTGGCATGCCGCGGCATGCCGCAGGACGCCGCGGTATGCCGCGGCACATCGTGGCGTGCCGTTTCATTCCACAGACGTCCCGCAAGTCACGTCGGTCACAGAATTATGACAATTAAACTAATTGAAATAAGGTTTGAAACTAGTGCGGCGGCGATTTCGGCGAATGGCGCGCAGCGAATGTGCCGCGGCATGCCGCAACGCGCTTCGGCATGCCGCGACGCGCTTCGACGTGCCGCGGCATGCCGTGCCGTGCCGCGACGTCAGTCTGCGCCGGCCTTTAAGGTGTTCGACTTGTCGGAAGTTACCCTAACGATGCATTGCTGAAATAAAATATGAAATAATAAATGAAATATCATTAAACAATTCCAATATTCTAAAGCTGGGTTACGGTTTTTTATAATATCTCAATAAACTGTTTTGTCACATAGCCGCGTTTTTGTTACCGAAGGGCAGTTATAAGATACGAGTTTGAGAAAGTAAGGCATCGATTTCTCACCAGGCATATGGTTGGTGCCTCGTACGCTATTTTTTTCTAAATATATTTATTTTCGATTTACACCTCCGTATGGGTAATACGGTTGATTGCTCTTTCAAAATAAACACCAAGAGGTCAGTCTTGCAATGACATACCATATAAACTGAGTATATTTTTTTCTCCCTGTAGGCAACGTAACGAGTCCTCAAAAAGAAGCTCTTCTTGAAGCCATAAACTCGGCTCAGGAAGGCATAGAGAAGCTGAGAAAGGAACTCGTCGCTTACAATAAGACGCTTAGACAGATGCAGGTGAGTTGCGTGTTTTGTTTACTTTTGAAAATTCACGTCTAACTTAATAACAGTCTGGTATTCACAGTCCATAAACTTTGAAACATAGCGAATGGCTTTCGAAATAATTCACCTTGAACACCAGACTCAGGGCTCGTGCAGCGTGCAGGCGATACTTTGCGACTGCGGTCGCACCGACACGCAACAACTTGTTTAAACATGTAGCACTAAATGGCTTAGTGCAGCGTGCCCGCGACCAGCGACCATTGGTCGTGAGACTTGCAGCGATCAGTCGTCGCAAGTCACAAGCGACTACTTCTATACGATCAATTCATGTTCCTATTATTGTTAGTAAGTAATTAAAATTATAATAATGGACCCAGATAGGTCACTTGAAACAGTTCGTAATCGCCGCAGCCGCACCCGTAAAACAGAATTTTCCAACAAAAAAGTTCTGATACTATGGACATTTTCCCTGTAAGTACGATAATAATTCGAAAATTCGCTATCGGTCGGTCCCTGGTAGTATTACGTCGCTAGTCGCCCGCATGCTGCACTCTATTTCGTCCTTAGAAGTTGTTGCGAGTTGGTGCGACCAAAGTTGCGACATATTGCCGGCACGTTCCACGAGCCCGGACATTCGTACTGCACTCGAAATAGACGCGATGATGCCGCGATTATATCCCCAATGTGATTTTGGTATAGTTATTAATACGAATGTGAACCTTGTAGTGTTTTCTTTAAGACGAATAGACGTAACTTTTAATTTTGATGGATAAAAGTTATTTACATACTTTGATCCGGAATGGCATGTTCCATGTTGTGATGTAGATACTACATTTTTGTCGAAATTATAAGTTACTATAAAAGGTATACTCGCTCGTTTTTTGGTTTCTTATACTGAACGCGCCCTTAAGTGTTGATAATAAATGAGAACCTCATAACGAGCGAACATTGGATCTAGGACAAGTGGGCTCGACGAGGTATGGTTGATTGAACAGGGATGTTACGGAGGTTGTTTTAAAGGTAACTTTCTGACTCGGAGGCAAAGTTAAAGATAACGTTTCCGACTCGGAGGAAAAGTTAGATAACCTTTCGGACTCGGAAGAAAAGTTAAAGACACCTTTCGGACTCGGAAGGAAAGTTTAAGGTAACATTTCAGGCTTGGATTCAATGCTCCGTAACATCCCTAACTTCAGCTCTAACTAATTCCTTACAAAATTAAGCCAAAAACAAAATAATTAAACAGCAATTAAACGCAAACAGGACGAGGCGGTAGCGCGGTCCCTATCGCGACTTCAACTTGCGCAGGTATTACGCATTGCGTGTACGCATGTCTTGTGTATTGTATGTGGCACACACTGTCTTTAAAATTTCCACTTGTGACGTTTATCACATACCATCACTGATAATAGGTTGTTAGACTTGCAATTTATTAATGCAAAAATCGAACACAAAGACAAATTCCTTGGATCTGACAGGACCCGAACTTACATCTCTTTCAGTAGGGCTAACACGACAGGGCGCGACTTGCGCGAGAGCGACATAAAGCTCAAGATCTCTATGCGACAGTAGCAGTATCTCGCGCAAGTCGCGCCTTATTATGCTAGTTCTACTGCTTTAGTGGATAATTGGCCTTAGTGTAGCATCTACCGAAATTCAGATGCATAATTTCTACACCTGCCGATTTCTTCGATTGGAAGAATTACTGCGCCGAAATTTCGACCGAATATCCGGCAGGTGTGATGCTGTACAGTGCTACTATTGTATCAATGTCACTCGGCAAACTTCGTGCTTCGGCTGTCGTCGGGTTTTATTCAAATATTTTGTATGCCCGTAAAAATATACATAATTTGGTTAAGAAAGAAGATATCCATAATATTGACCTTGGAAATAAGGCCAAACTCTTGGTACCACGATTTCGTTTAACTAAGGTAAACGATTCTTTTATGGGGAACTGTATACGTTTTTACAATAAGATTCCGGTGAATATATTAAGATTATCATTTCCTTAGTTTAAACCTTACCGAGTTCTTAGGTTTTCGCGATTGTTACACATAGGAAATGAAACAATTTTTCCGGATTTAAATTGCGTATATTTGTTTTTCAAACAGTTTGACTGACAGTCAACCGTGACCATGGGACCTGTAAAGGGCCCGAAACGTCGGTTTGTTTGAAAAAACAAATAGACGCGATTTAAATCCTTAAAAATAGTTTCATTTCCTATTTAAAACTTACATTGAAAGTATTTTAATTGAAAAGTCATATTACAAAATTGAAGAGTATGTTTTAGATAAAGAAGTATGGAAAGAAAGAGTCTAAATGCCACACAAATATGATTCAAAATATATTCTATAGCATTTAAGTTTATTTGAAAAGAGGAATCCCTAGAGTTTCTTGCTCGTTCTTCTCAGGAGGTCAGCGTAGTGAACGAGCAGTAGCTTAAAAAGTAACTTAAAAAATGTCGTTTTCAAGTGTTAAAAATGTTACCTGTGGAATAAATGATTATTTGACTTATTCAGTTGCCCTTTGCCTTTAGCACAGACCGGAAGCTTTCAGTCGACTTGAAAGTATATAGAGTTGCTATTAAATTTTTTATTTATTATACAATGGGAGAAAACTCGCTAAAGTCACAGGCATGACAGATAATTTACAGCGTAATTATTCTATCGATGGCGAAGATATAGCTATGTCAGATGAAGAAATGCGTTCAGATACGGACTGTGTTAAAATTATTAATAACCGGAAATATATTCATTTTTAGTTATGTGAAAGAAGCATACTTTATTTACTTTACATTTGTACTAGCTTGCTTATTGACATGGAGTGAATATTATTAAAAATAGAGAATTAGTTTTACAGCTCTATATAGTTCACACGGAAATCAAAACAAAACAATAAAGTACGTTGTTGTTTCATATTATTTTAGATTTTAAATCTAATGATTAATGGGCATGGAAATTAATATTCGGAAATCCGATGATTGCCGAGAGACATTGAGAAAATAGAAGCACTATTCATTGATTTAACTTTCATGATTTTCATACATTACTTGATTTTTAAATCGAGACTTAATAGTGTATAAACATATTTTATTTACCTCGACGTTACGGACGTATTGCAACGACCATGGCCTCGGAAGGGACTGAAGAGGCGGGTGTCAACATCGTACGTGAAGCCGATGAAATTTAAAAAAAAATCGTAGTTCCAACGGCAAATACGGGTTTAAGCTTTCATTGTTCTGGTATCCAGTCATCAAGTCGTCGGACATTGTGAGTCTGTCCAGCGACAACCCTAATGCTAGAGTTTTTTACTAATAGTAGAGATCCCTCTGAAAGAGGTCGTCCAGGAAAGTAAAACCTTATCTTTTTCTGCTGCCATACAGTAATGTGAACGTTACTGCGTTCCGGTATTGGAGAATAAAGGTGCTGATGGAATTACAGGCACATGGGCGCAGTGGCGGTGCCCCTCAGATCTCAGATGCGTTTTTACAAAAAACATACACAAATGTATAATGTTAACACGTTCGAAACGTCGGGATAATATGTTTATACACAATTAAGTCTCGATTTTGAAATCAAATAAGGTGGTACAAGAGACTGAACTGCATGGACCGATCTAGAGTAAATTTAACATCGATAAAACAACGTTTTTTTTATTTCTTTACACAAATATATTAAAAAGGGATTCTATTTGTTTTTGTATAATTTTTTGTACTTAATTTTCAAGTTATTTGATTTTCGCATAATTATTATGGAATGTTTTGCATGTATCTTTTTTCGATATTTTATTTTTATTTATCTTAGTTGACAATCTCATTTCAATTCACAAAATAAATCACAAGTTAACTTTTTACCATAGTTTGTGTCGTTTGATAACCATTCTACCGTTTTAGCTTAACATCGTTTACGTCATTATATACCAAGCATGCGTACGCGTAACGCACGGTTTTATATATAGTCATGTATATAATCATTTTCATGGTAGCAAGTAACTTATATGCCCATTATGAAAGTTGAATAATATCTAGGTATTGGAGTGTTAACATAATTTAAAACTCATTCATGTAAATAAATCAACATTATGTGAACAATAACTTTACTCATGATTACGTATAAATAATATTTCGCATAAGGTTCAATTTACATTGCCGCGAAACGGATCTCTGCTACGTAATGACGACATCTGTATTCGAGTAGCTTGCACACAGATTTTTTTTTAATAATATGGAGTGACGGGACAAACGTGTCGTGCGCCTGGTTGTAAGCTACACGTCTGTCTATAAAAGTTGCACTGCCACTCACAGCTTTAATTCGCAAAGACCTTACGGGCACTGCCATTGTTCCTGTCACCCTGAGACATAAGTTGAAAAGTCCCATGTGGCAGTAATTTTACCAAGCACCCTTACACTTCAAAACCAGAACATAGTAATGTGGGCATTACTGCTTGGCGGTAGAAATAGGTAAATTTATTTATTATTAAATTTATTAATATATATTTTGTGCTATTTCTATTGAACTAAGGTATAAATTGCAATTCTCTTGAAACCGACCTCTGAGCATGGTGGCGTATTTCTCGCTGCGTCTCAGAGCATTGAAATTTACACCTTATTTCAGTTCTTATAGCAGCCTTGCCGTCCGCCGCTTTACACTAACCCTTTATGCGTGTTAAAATTTTATGCTACATTATTTAGACCTTATGTAAAAATCTTCATGTACACACATTGAATAATATATTATGTAAATTATTCTTTAATGTGTTTGTGCTAATTTATAAGTTTGTAATTACTTATTTATATATTTCACTAGTGATTTTTATAGTGTAGTAGTAGAGCTAGCTATTCATCCGTTCCCTTTGGATAAAAGTACAACCAGAAACGAAATTACCTAAGCGTTGAAATCTACTAAAATATCTGTATTTAATGATATTGTTGAATTTTTTATTAGAGGTAGTAAGCAAACTTCCGTTTAGTAGGTAACTAGTTTTTTTGATACAATATGTAAATAGTAGCGATGGGTGGTTGTTACTAAAAAAATGACGATAGTTGAGTGCAACATAGTGATCCTACATTAGATTTTCGATTTCACCGAAAAATAATCGAGAATAGTTACTAATTTAGTAATTACTGATAAAATTTTCGGAGGCTTAAAAAAAATTCCTCTATACCATAGTATAATATGGAATGCAAAAAAAAAAAATTTAAAAAAAAACACCTATGTAGTACCAATCGATCCAATTAATAATTTATTAACTATCAATCCCATTACTATTACGATATTTGATCAACAATCAAAAATTAGTAACTGGTACAAGATTAGGAACTATTTCGATTCACAGTTGGTATTTGATCAACAATTTAAAAGCGAAGTGTAGTAACTAATTGATATTAAGACAATCGAATAATTCGATTATTTTTAGTAACTATCGCCCATCGCTAAAAATATTGCTGTTTTATAGGATCGAGATCACAGTGTCACTCAGTTAGTAGTCACGGTAGATTATATGAATAATGTGTGGATATTTATATAGATTTCTTGGTCTTTGCAATTGTTACACATAGAAAATAAAACTATTTTTTTCAGATGCAATTCGCGTATCATCCAACGATTCGGGCCCTTTACGGGTGTCATTAACACGGCTAACTTAATTTTTTTTAATTATACCAGAAAATTTGTAGAAGTAGCGGGTCGGGCACGGGAACACACCGAGTGCAAGCGCGGGCCGGGCGCACCGTATATATCATCGAGTATATAACCAGAAATAGAGACGAAATAAGGGCCATTCACCCTGACAACTCATCAGGCAAATGGGACTTATATCACTTTTAAATATCAACTCTTGTTTGCGCTGAAATCACAAATTAGAAAGCTGAAATAGTACAGCGCCAACAACTGACCTGTGCGTACGTCTCCGTATATTCCAAAAATACTCTGTAATTATTGTAACAAAGATAATATCTTTAACAATAGGGGGTTGTCCATTCGCCGGTAAAACAGCAAAATATCTAATTACAACACCAAATTACATTTCATCGGTAATTAAATATGTAATTTTTCAATTTTCGTCCATTATAGCAAGGTTCAAGTTACACTGGTCGGATTTGAAACAATTGACGACACCCGTCAATTGTTTCGAATTCGGACTGGCCAATTGGAGCGCAGTTGTCATCGTAATGATATGGCAGAATAGTTTTCAAATAAATTAAATGACATATTGTCTCTATTTCTGGTTATATACACGATGATATAAATACACGGAATTGGACCCGCCGCGGTCCCGATCCGACCCACACCCGCTCTCTGTACCTATGTTTCTCGCGTAAATGTAATATTGTTTGGCAGATATGTACACGATTGACGTTTAAAAGCAATGTTAGTTCCACCCTTTCGTTATAGTAATAAGGCTGATTTTTTTTTGGCCCTTTATTCACTTGAAATCGTGTACAAAGACGATAACTGTACCTTTTCAGCAAGTCGGTTAAAAATGAAATATTCGTTACATAACGAAAACAAAACGAACCCCTTTTCACTAAATAGGTTATTCCGGATCATGTATATTTGTTTTTTTATTTCAAACAACTTAACGCTTCGGGCTCTTTACAAGTCTCTTGGTAAAGCGTGACTGTTGCAATTCAGATCCGAAATACGTAATTTCGAACCGACCTCAAAAGTTCGCTCGTGGAATTACGTCTATTAGCCAAGTTTTATTGCAATCGGTTACTGTAAAGTGCGCGACACAGGATTCATCCCCTGGTTTGCCATTATAGGTGGAATATTTTCTTGAAATTTAAATGAGGTACCCTCTTTCCAACGAAAAACAAAAAAAAAAAGAAGAAGAAGAATTAAAATCGGTTCACAAATTGAGTTGCCGCGTAACATACATACAAAAAAACAGTCGAATTAATAGTTTCATTTCCAAATGCCTCGCGGCCGAACGGCTACCACGCTAATTTTTTTTTTATAACATCAAGTGACGGGTCGAATAAGTCGTGCTCGTGATGGTAAGCTACACGCCTGTCCATAACAGTTGCAGTGCCACTCAGAGCTTTAATTCGTATAGATCTGAGGGGCACTACCACTGCGCTCGTCACCCTGAAACATAAGTTGACAATTCCCATGTGTCTGTAATTTCACCAGCGCCTTACCCTTCAGAACCAGAACACAATGCTTACACTACTGCTTGGCGGCAGAAATAGATAAGGTGGCAGTAGTTCCCTGGACAAACTCTTTCACCAGGAGCTCTACTGCCGGTCTGCCACGCAGAGACTCCGGTTTGGATTCCCGGGCCGGAGGAAATATTTCTGTGACCTCAATTTTTTTCTCTCGTAACTTTGGGTGTAACTTGTGGTGTGTCTATGTGTGTATCCATAGCACCCGCGATACAGGGTTTCTCTAGTGTGGGGAAAACCTTAAGAAGTCGATATGTACACCACTACGGACTGAAAAGTTGACGTATGTCGCACTGGAAGTCAAATACTATCGTAAATCAAAAATTGGTGCAATTGAAAAACATGATTTTAAATTTTTTTTTTTGTATGTCACGATGTTTAACCACTATGATATTCTATTGTTTTTGTGAAATTACTCTTAAGTTGTAATAATTATTAATACAAAGATCGAACACTAACAAAAAACTCCTTCGATCCGGCTGGATTCGAACCAGCGTCTTCCAGCAAACCGTGTCAGACGCTATGCAAACTAACCCACGGAACGGACGAGCGGACCTAACGAATTTTTCTATATGCTTGTTACAGATCTTTGTTTTTTACCGACCTCAAAAGTCATTCATCCTCTAGTTAACCACCCATAGACGTGGACTATTTACTTCAAATTTAAATGGACCCTCTTTCCAACAAAAAGGATCATCAAAATCGGTTCACAAATTATCGTATTATCGTGCAATGTACATACAAAAACAAAAACCTGCCGTCGAATTGAGAACTTCCTCTTTTTTTTAAGTCGGTTAAATTCTGAATGGATCTTGTTGCGAATAATGTGATCATTTTTATTTATAACTATCATTTGGTTATCCATTTACAAACGAGAATATACATTTATTGATGTCATTCAGTGTTTTTTAAGTTTTTATTGAATGTCACGATGTTGTGCTGTGATGCTGCGCAAAGTAATGCTAAATTTTTCTTTGTGTTCGATCTTAAAAATTACAAATATTAAAAAATACTAGAGATGTTGCATCTCTAGTCAGCTGCTGGTGGCTGTAAAGGTACACCACTAAGCGAAGAAATAGATTTCTTACAAATGCCGCTACTTCAAATTTAAAAACCAGAAACAAAGATCTGCACCAAACACAGAAATATTCGTAAAGTTAGCTGGTTCGTCAGTTGCGAGAGCGTCTGCCACGGATTGTTTGAAGGCGTTGATTTGAATCCAGTCGGATCTAAAGAATTTTTATTTGTATTAATAATTATAACAAACCAATAGAGTAATTTCATTCAGTAATTTTTTCAACTTTCGAATCGTGTTTTCTCAATTCTACAATTTTGAGTTACGACATTGTTTGGTTTCATGTGCGATATATTTTCGTACCAAATAGTTGTCGATTTAGCACCAATCAAATAATGTAGCAGTCAAGTAGTTAGTACCACGTACATTTTTTTTAAATATGCTTTATTAGTTTACCAAAAACGTTACATCTTGAATTTCGTGTCTATGCACATGGACATTTCCTATAATTTTTCTCAGCACTGTATGAAACAAAATTGGTAGGGTCGTAAACAGAACCTTGCTAGTAGGTAACTGATCTACTTGTTTGTATCACAACACAATCGTATGTCAATTTAAAAACCGTAATAAAGGGACTTAACTTTCGTTGCATACAAACGTTATTGTTGAAGACTTGTGCTAGACTAGGTGCTTTGGATAGTAACTTAGAGTTAACTTCGTCGCTCATATTAGCTCATTCGCGACCAGGTGGCGTGGTTCTCTGGTATATTAAAAAAGTTATATCATTCACTGGATAAGTCCCTACACGTTCTGGTTTTGAAGGGTAATTAATGGTGCTGTTGAAATTACAGACCTTGTGAGCTTATGTCTCATGTTGACGGGCGCAGTGGCGTTGCCTCTCAGGTCTTTGTGATTTAAAGCTCAGAGCACTGCAACTGTTATGAGCAGGCGTGTCACTTACCACCAGGCTACGACTTGTTCGTCCCGTAACTTGGTGTCATAAAAAAAATTCTTACAGTCGGGTGTGCATAGTATAGACATGTATTTATTTGTCATCAGGTGAATGCGAAGAAACCAAAAACTCGAGAAGAAGCACAGAAGGAAATTCTGGATGCTGAATTGGACATGTTTACTAAACAACAGGTTAGTTAAGCTCAAATATTATGTTGGCAAGACATGTAATGCAGAGGTTTTGAGTCGTGTTGGTCTCGTCGAAAGGATCTATGATGATCTATTAGATGATCGCTCTATGTGAGCAATGAGCTTTGCCGAATAAAACGGAGAACTTCAAAACGCTCCCTTGTAAAGTTCGACTGACGATACTTTACGTAGAAGGGGTCGATTAATATGACACACTCGGCTTCATGCTTATTGCATTGCACTTTGGCAATAGTGCGGACAGCATCCAAACTGCAATTTTGCAATTCCGTCGAAATACAACTCGCGTCACTGCTAAGTTGTAGTTTTAAATAGTCAAGCTAAACCCGTTGTTTACAGGAGGGTCAAGACGTAACGGAGCTGCAAAAGAAAATTTCCGAGCTTCGTCGGCAGATGACTATACAGTTCCCGCCGCACCCTGCCATGCGTAGACCACATTCCAGGTTGGTGTTTATTTATTTTCTATGGTCTATTAAGTTAACATCTATAAAGGCAGCTTAAACTTCAGAGTGAATGTAAAATATAGCGCATTTTTAAAATTTACTACAATGTAACAGCTTCAAAAATTAATAGAAGTACCATTGACGGCAGATTAAGAAGTCGATCTATTGCAGAGACAGAAGTGGCCACAAAAATTCGGCCCACACTTTCAAATATTTTAAACTAGAAAAATCATCACCTTCCTTCTATCTTTATTCCATTATTCGTGGCCGGCATAGTATGTTTTTTTTTCCATTCATCTCTCTCTTCCGCTAAACTAAACGTATATTCATTCAATTAATATTCATTCGTGTAACAGATAACCCTCGAGAAAAATGAACAAGAAACTCAAGGAATTGTTCTTTGTAAATAAGCTAAATAGAATGAATGAATGGATGAATGAAATATTCTTTATTGCACATAAAATTACAATTAAAATACAACACAATAGCTTAAGTATAATAGTAGTAGCAAGTCAATGTGCGACAGGATATTTATTTAGTTAAAACTTGAAAGAGATAAGCGGAACGCTCCACCGCGGATTTTTTCATCCAAGTGCGCAGAAACTGTATAATAAATTCTTTGTAAAAAGATTTTGTATCAAGATAATTTTAAATATTAATAGTAATATATGACGTATACGTTCCAAACTTAAATGAATTTGTGACTTTGTGAAGACGAGTGTCATCTCGTTTTTCACCTCCCTTGTCATCTCTCACATAATCCATTAATTTTTTTGGTCTTCCTTCTCTCTAAAGCCATCCACATTCATATTTTATTTGTTTTGAAAAATGCGTCTCTCAATCATTATTCAACAATTACACAAACTGTTTCCGGTACGGCATTGCAATTGCAAAATATCAATTGGACTACATCGCGACGGCACGAGTACTGCATTTGGCAGTTTTGATGCCGTGACGACGTACTTACGCGTTTCCGTAAATAAATTTATAATTATTGATGGTAAAATGTTTTCTTTTTCAAGCTATCGCATAGTGAAACGCAAACTTAGGTGAGATTATTTTGTATGTGTTTTGTGCACAGAAATAAAATAACAAAAACATGTGTATTCATAGATGTAATTGTATTATCCTTTGTTCTAATGCTCACGGGTTTTTGTCACAGTATTTACAAATGGTAAGATTCTTGCTAGACTTTCTTTCTGTTAACCGCATAAAGCCAAAAAGAGCCAGTTGTCTCTCATATAGTCTTTTCTGGTCATAGTTGCTGTCAAAATTATGACCGTTAATTGAAACAGTGATTAAAATGTCATCACGTCAAATTTTTGACAATTAATTTGTAAGAACAGTGGTATAATTAGTAATAATTATAATTTGAACGGCAACCTTGAACCGGAAGGACAATATGAACTACACCGAGTTGTTTCACATTACGCAGTTAGCTACCTGTTTAGGATTATGGATTTCAGATTGAGTGATTTAGGGCTTATCTAGTAGCGGAAATTCCGCGGTGAAATTAAGCGTGGCAATTAGGACCTCTTAATTTAGACCCTTACTTTAGACGCGTATAGATACTATAGTCTATTTCAATAGAATTGAGAGTAAACGTAAACAAACCAGTTGGGTTAAAATTCTGAAGAAATCACTCACTATATGGAATAAGTAACACTTTTATGTGTATTTTGTAGGTTTCCACTAGATATCTCACCACTTTTTCCAACAATATTCGTTTGTTATGCATTATAAAATCATAATTGAAAAATCTTCGCCGAAAACTGAGATTGATTTGACAATCCATAGTCTAGAATGTCTATGGTTGCATAGGGATGTACGGAAAAAAGTTCAATTGAGTGAATCATAGTTTGAATAAGTGATTGCCTCAAGAGTCACCAGAAACTTGCGTCTTGAAGTCATTTGACCAACTCTTATTTCTGTACCGCTTACAAACGATTTAGCGGCTTGTTAACTATCAAGTATTTTCATAATTTTCTGTATTTAACTGATAGCTTCTAACTTTTAAACAATAAATGTCAATAATCGTAAATAAAGAAACGTTTTTTTATGTATCACCTTCAATCAATTTACAACGGTCAAATGCGCGGAATTAACTTGATGTTAGTCCAACAGATTCAATTGATCGATCTGATTCATTCAATAATTGATTAGTAAATTACTCTACAATTGCCCATCACTAAACCGACTATGGTCGGGTCAATGCACTCAATGTTTACCTTTACTCTCAATTCATTTGAAACAGGGTATACAAATTTTCATACAATATTTAGAAGCGCCAGAGATGGGCAAACGCCCGGGTTTTAGCCCGGTGCTTAGTTAATGCCAGGTTTAAATCGGGCTAATTAATGAGTTTTAACCCACAAGAAATCGAGGGCAAGAACTATTTACTAAATATTTGCTGATATTATTACAAAACATTATTGTCTGGACGATTCGAATTGCCTTACTATTGAATCGATTCGCTTGAAAATCGTATTGAAATAAATCGATACAAAAGATCGTATGCACTTGAATCGATGTAATAAATATATCGAATCAATGTGCAACTTTAGTAGTGACTATCCACAGCATTGCAAAGTGGGCATTATATGGAGTTGCCTCATTTTTATCTAATTTTTTTTTACATCATAATTCGTCTTGCTAGCTAACTCTACTGGTGAGACGGAGGTTAAACGCGCACTTACTTTTGTACTAAAAAAACTGATATCCTAATTGCACAAGTGTAATTTGGTGTATCTAGATTAGATCTTTCTTTGGCGTTATCCTGCTCAATCTGAAATCTTTTGGGTTTCCATTTTCTTTCTAGATATGTTAAGACACTTTAATGTTATGTAAACTTGCAAGTGAAATCGAATGAAGTGTAAGCGAAGTTTCGAGTTATTTGGTCAATCAAGTATTTTTAATTAAAAATAAAACTATTGGTTTCGGATCTAAATCTCGTACATTTGTTTTTCCAGACAACCATGACGTGAAATGGACCTTTTAACATTCCGAAACGTTGGTTTCTTTAAAAAACAATTTCGATCCGAAAAAATGTTCAATGTGTAACAACCGCGAAAACCGATGCGAACTAGATTTCAAACAAAAAGATTAAACTAGCAAAAACCTATAATAAAAAAGCAATAAGCAGTAATTTTGCTTCCATAACATTTTTTTTTGTCGTCAAATATCTCAATACTTGAATCTTTAACTAAGCATCGGTCAGGTGATTAACGTTAGACGTTAGAAATAAGCATTAAAAATAAGAAATTTTATACGCATTGATGACGAAATGGGTATGTCCATATTAAGAAAACGTTTACACTTTAGGTAAATTAACTCCATAAATTCCGATCACTGATTATGACATACGTAATGTACTAACCGTACACGTACGTCTAATGCTCGTCATCTAAACCTGTCTTAGGGTCGTATTCTAGAACTTTACTCAATGCTCAAGTCAGGATTTGAGTATGGTTTAAAGCACTCGAAATCATACTCAAGTCCCTGCCATTAGAGTCGTATTTCCAGTGCCTGTGTTTACAGTGCAATCCTGACTTGAGCATTGAGTAGAGTTCTAGAATACGACACTAAGGGTCGTATTCCAGAACTGTACTCAATGCTCAAGTCAGGATTTGAGCATGGTTTAAAGTACTTGATATCATACTCAAGTCCCTGCCATTAGGGTCGTATTTCCAATGCTTGTGTTTCCATTGCAATCCTGACTTGAGCATTGACTAGAGTTCTAGAATACGGCCCTTAGTGTGTTTCACTTATAAGACAATATTCGTGTTTAAATATAGCGAATTATTTTAATGTTATATTTTTTCCATGGTGCTATACTAGTTTCGCTGGTAGTGCTGTTCGATTGCAATTGCTATGCTGGCTAAATGCGGCTAGCGTGACTATACCTTAAAATTATAAACTTAATGAGAAGCTAGCGAATTATTTGAATGTTATATTTTTAATAGGTGCTAGAGGACAAGCACCAAAATCTTTATGTGTAGCCATATTTGTTTCGCTGGTAGTGCTGTTAGATTGCAATTGCTTATGCTGTCTAAATGCGGCTAGCCTGAACATACCTTAAAATTTAAACTGAATGACAAGCTTCATAAGTCTCTCATAGGGCTCATTCAGAGTGCAGGCGCGGGCGCGGCGGCGAGTGCGGGCGCGCGGGTCTTGGCATCTTCCCTTTCACAGTGCCGAAGCGGCTACGAGTGGGTAGATCCACACGTTGAAATCGCAAATAGATGCTAGACCAAGCACTGAAAGGTACGGGCGGACCGAGCCAATAGGTTAATCCCGCCGCAAGATAGGCGCCGGCGCGCGCGGTCACTGTAAACGCAACAAGCGTTTACGTACATTTGATTTACACGCGTTCGCGCCCGCCGCCACTCTGAATAAGGCCATAGTTATCGCTTACGGCGAGAAAAGCCGAAAAAAACACATTACACAAGGCCTGTGACAAATATAGGGTTTTAAGGACATAACAGACTTGTATTTCAATAACACACAATAATTAAGAAATCGAGTTAAAATTTATTCCAGGTGCCAGTTACATGTTACATTTAAGAATGGAATTCGATCTCGTTCATATGACCACCGCGAGCACGTTTGCAGTTAGCCAAACAATCGATCTATTGAAGAGGAAGTTCGATAATCGTGTTCGAAATTATCCGGTTGAATGGCCACCTCGCTTATACGATCTAACGCCGTTGAATTACTTTTTATGAGGTTACGTTATGCCGTTGGTTTATGCCAACAAGACAACAACGTTAAATGTGCTCAAGAAAAATAACAAAAGAGAAATTGCCAACATTTCCTATTTCGGCCGCCAAGCAGTAATGTCAGCGTTACTGCGTTAAGAAGGATACTGGTGAAATTACAGGCACACAGGACTTGTCAACTTATGTCTCAGGGTGACGGTGCAGTGGCAATGCCCATAAGATTTTTTTCGATTTAAAGCTCTCGAGTGGCGCTGGAATTATTATGGGTAGGCGTGTCGCTTACTACCAGGTGCACGATTTCGTCCCGTCACTTGGAAAAAAAAATTTCGTCTCATGTGTGACGAAGAGTGGTGGAAAATTGGCTCCAAAGAATTGAACGCTGTAAACGTGCTCGCGGCGGTCATATGAACGAGATCGAAATCCATTCTTAAATGTAACACGTGTGCTCCAGCTGGAATAAAATTTGAACTCGATATCTTAATTATTCTGTGTTTTATCGAAATACAAAATTGTTATGTCCCTATTGAAAAGCCCTATACATAGACAAATTCGTAAACTCTGCTGACACGATCTGTTGCTCAGTTCACAGAGAGTGGTAGCGCTAGTTTGTCGTACAAACGCAGGCTCGTGTCCTGTCAGATTGAAGGAAGCTTTCCTCGTGTTCGATCCTTGTAATTATAATATAACTAATAAACTCGCTTTAATTTATAGCACTCTATTCTCAAGGGGCGGTCGCTTTAACACTGCGACGAGGTTCACCCGAGGAGCGCCATCACCTAAAGTCTTTGTCAACCAATCTGTCGACCATAGGCCGAGAGCTCTGCTCATATCCGGATTTGAAGCTGACGAGCTAGACGCTTTGACTGCACATTTTGCTGTAAGTATAAGTAGGGTAATATACAATTATTAAATTGTATATAATAAAATCGTGGTATGAAATTTTAAGACCTGTAGTCTGTTCAACCATTTATTTAACTTTTGACATGTGCATGCCTCCGAAGTTCCGTAATTATTGACATACAACCATAGACAAACAATGCGATACTTCCTGGACTCTTTTTTATTTTTTTATTTTAGTGAAGCGATGTGCTCTTTAGCTCCGATATTTATCGAGCTGACAGATCATGTAACGAAGATTATTCAAGTTGATAAAATTTGGTACCTGTCTAATAAATTATTATGAAATGAACTAAATTATAATTAATTATAATAAATTCTTATTCTTTATTATAATGAATCGTCGGATTCTTCTCCATATTGACGGGAATCATCACTTGAATCCTCATTAACATTAATTCTTGTACTCAATTTGTGTACACAAATTGTCAAACGCAACAACACTACGACAACAAACTCAAAAGAAAGTCAAACAAACGCTACGAAACAAAAAAAACAAACCAAACAGCGCACACTGATGAGGGATATATCTTACGACAGTCCGCTGGAATGCCACAGCATCCACCGGTCGCACGGATTTGTATCCACTCCACTAGCGGCTGAATAATCGAACAGTCCTCGATAAGATCCAGGCAGACTGCGGCGCATACCGGTGTATTCCGGCTATTAACGGTGTATTCCAAAGCATATCAGTGTATTGCGGCGCGTATTGGAGGGTTCCGTCGTATACCGCCGCATAGTGGGCCCAAATTGATAATACTTAGACATAGGAATAACTTGTGGAGTATCGAGCTAATTTTGTTAAAGTACATAAACAAAGTTGGCAATTTTGCCGCACCTTTACTTACAAAGCCGCAAGTACATACAGATGGATTGTTTTTTTCTACATAGAAAATGATTGGAACTATATTGTAAGTAATCCACGCACTTTACATTTTCGTATATTCTGAGATAAAAAATAAAATGTATATTTCTCCATAGAAAACAAAAAAAATTTTTTTTTAGGAAATGAATCTATTTTTCCGGATTTAAATCGCGTATGTTTGTTTTTTCAAACAAACCAACCGTCAACCGTGACCATGGGACCTGTAAAGGGCCCTAAACGTCGGGCCCGCAATTCATATGTGTAACAATCGCGAAAACCTAAGAACTCGATATATTTTTTTTTTCTGCGAAACTTTTCAAGAAATTATACAAGACTAAAAGTTGTTAGGAATGTTATTATCTATCACATTTAAAAAAATTAGCTCGATACTCCACAAGTTATTCCTATGTCCAAGAATTATCAATTTGGGTGCCTTCCGCCACGATACGTACGGCCCATTATATTGTTGTTGTTTAAATTGTTTTTTATTTGTCATAGCAATTCGGCGAAATCACACACAAGGAGACCAACCTCGCGGTGCCCGAGCTGATCGTCGTGTACAAGGCAAGAGCGCACGCGGAACAAGCCGCTCACAGCGGCAAACATTACAACGACCGGACGTTGTCCGTGAGTATATGATAAACATTTTTAGCAATTAATGGAGAATTATGTACGTCATCCAAACGATATGAAAAAACAACCAATAAGTATATGGTTGTTTTGACTAAGCGGGAATAATTAAATACTTAAAGTGGACACACAAGGACACCAGATCACAGATAAAAAACCGCTTATTTTATTCTTGTTTCGCTGATTCCATGTTGATAACCCAATTTAGCTAAAAATTTTCGGTTACGTTATAATAATGAAGACAGTAGTTCTACTATGAATTTATAGTCAGTCTTTTTTGAAGATGGAGTAAAATGACAGTTCATTGTGCAAAAGTGTTGCCCGCTTCAAAGCAGCTAGTGATTACAGTGGGTAAATATTTTATCGACTGTCGACTAAATATTGGTCACGCTTATGAAATAAATAGCCGAACTTATAAAATTTTCTTCGACCCATTATTCATCCAATTCTTCCATGTAAATTTTTGTCAGTTCATACATACGTACACTGTGTTTATAAAAATACAAACAGGAGACATATTTTAAAGTTTTTGGTTTAAACTTCAATATAGTAAATCCGGTTATTCTTGGTAAAATGTATTTGAATAAAAATTTATCTCTGAGCTAGTAGATCAACTTTAAAAATGAGAATAAAAAACGCAATTAATCGAACGTCGAAACATTCACAATTCTGACATTTTTGGCAAAAATTTGCCTTTTCACGATCTATCGATAATACTGTCCATAAAAACTTCATGTCTATTTGAAATGTCAAATCCTCCAAATGTCATTTGTTCAAAGTTAGTTAGTTGCTGGAACGTTTAGGTATTGATTGGATCAATGTATCTTCAGATCACGTGGGTGACGAACACGAAGGCGTTGAGCGGCGTGAACGCCGTGGCCGCGCCCGCGCCCGCGCCCACCACCAACCACAACGGGGACGCCAACCACGACGACGACAAGATGCCCGAGGTCAGTGTTGTAACTCTTGGGTTTCGCGATTGTTACATATTGGAAATGATACTATTTTTTCGGATGAAAATCGCTTTTTTTTTAACTGACCACCCTTTCGGACCCTTTACTGACCCCATGGTCATACAAATTGGTCATAAAAATCAACATACAAATTCATGACAAAGAATTTAAAAATGTGTAGCTTTGGGAGATTACGTAAATATCATTAGCAGTTGAGGTCTTTGTGAAAGAGTTCGTCCAGGGTAGTACTCCCATTTTACCTATTTCTGCCGCCAAACAGTAATGTCACCATTACTGTGCTCCGGTTTTGAAGGGTAAGGGTGTTGGTGAAATTACAGGCACGTGGGACTAGTCAACTTATGTTTCAGGGTGATGGATCTAACCTAACCTTATCATCAGGCGCTTGACTTGTTCGTCCCATCACTTGGTGTCATAAAAAAAATGGGTTCGATACTGAGGTACCCTCTTTCCAACAAAAAAAGAACCATGAAAATCGGTTCACAAACGCCGTGAAAATCGCGTGACATAAAAAAAAGGCAGTCGAATTGTGAATATCATCCTTTTTTTGAAGTCCGTTAAAAAGGGGTAGATATGCGAGATTGTATAAATACCGTTATGTAGCTATGTAAATACGCAGCCATCGTGTATAAAACCAGACATAGAGACGAAATGTCATTTCGTTTGAAAACTATTCTGCCAAATCATTACTGTGACAACTGCGCTCCGATTGGCCAGCACGAATTCGAAACAATTGACGGTTGTCGTCAATTGTTTGCTATAATGGACGAAAATTGCAAAATTACATATTTATAGATGAAATTTGATTCTGTTTGTTTTGTAATTAGATGTTTTGCTGTTTTTCCCCACACCACCGAATGGAACAGCACGCCATTGTTAGAGATATTATCTTTATTACAATAAATATAGAATATTTTTGGAATATACGGAGACATACACACAGGTCAGTTGTTGGCCTGTTTTTATTTCAGTGCAAAAGAGAGTTGATGTTTATAAGTGATATATCACTGATGAATTGCCGGGAATGTGTGGCCCTTCTTATTTCGTCTCTATTTCTGGTTATATACTCGATATAGGCAGCTGTGTAAATGCCACTGTGTCAAAGTAGCCACATTAGCAAAATTTCAGAGGTATTAATTACATCTCTTTTACACTACTACATACTACTGCTCTTTTAAACGGAAACCAAGTACTGTCAATTAAACACCAGAAACAAAACCGTTTTGAAAATTTGTTACTTAGTATTGTCATACAAGGTAGATAATACCTGTAAATTAATTAAAAATGACCACAAGCAATGGTGTCTTGTTAGAAATGTATATGGCTGAAGCGGAAAAGGGAGTCAACTCCCGTTCTCCGTCCGGGGAATGGGAGTGACCCTCAGGTACGTAGATTGAAAACAAACCTTATATAACTCCCGCTTCTCCTAACAGACACCAACGGAACTCAACGAGGACTCTCTCCTCCGGTTCGATGAAGAGGAAGACGAGGACGCCGAAGACAGATCCTGGAGACGTTGACATCGAGCCAACCCGCACCTCCGCAGCCATCGGTACCAGCACCAGTGCCAACGGTGCCACAATGGCGCGAGGACTCTGTGAAATCTAAGTTTATTTAGTGGTGTGTTTACACTGTCAATATTTTCGTCAATACTTTCGTTTTACGTCATAGTTAAGCAAATTACAATTGACAGCATTCAAATAGCAATTTTGCAATTGACGGCATTCAAATTGCAATTTTGCAATTGACCCCTTTCAGATTGCAATTTTGCAATTGCAATGCCGTCAAAGGTGCAGTTCGCTCTATGTCACTAGGAAGTATTTTTATTTCTAAAAGCAAAATTTATTTTTTTATCTAAGATCAAAACCTGTGTTGACTACGCAAAATCAGCTCGCATATTTCCGACGCGTTTTTTTCCGTCATTTAATACGTAACAGTTATCCAATAGTGAGAGTATCGAATTTCATTAAATTCCGTATTTAACAATAAGGTAGGCTCATTAAATAAAAATAGGTTATATTAGTTATATAAAACAAGTGACATTTTAAACTAAAAGAAATATCACACGAATCGACTGGAATGTCACTTATTTATAAATTCGACGATCCATTTGAAAGCCTTTATACACTGTACAATTTTTTTATCTACGCGTTTGTAAATAGATATTGCAATATTAAACTCGCCGTTTGTCTTTACTGTTAAGGTTTATTATCGATTCAAAAGTATTGATAGTGTAAAAACAGTATAATAAAGCGTCAAGTTGTAGCTAAAATTTAGAACTTATCGACTATGACATCATTATATGGTATGCGACGCGATCTGTACAAACTGTCAGTTTTGATTGAATATTGAATATAGTGAATATTGAACACCGAAAATTTTTTTAATAATAAATATTTGTGATTGATTTATAATAATTACAATAATAGGCCGTAAATATTACAGTTTTAAAAAAGATGATCGGAAAACATCGGCTACGTTCGGATTTTCTAGAGCACCGTGTCAGTCACACTAATTGTATGGCAGAGACAACTCTCTTCAAAGGTGACATCAGCCGATCGTCTATTCTACATCTCGTTGTGTAACATCGTCGGTGTTTGTGTTGTGTGTATGAAACAGATACCGTTCTGACACGACACGTCAGACAAATGTAAATCCGGCTTTAGGCAATATCCGTGATTTACGACTGTTCCCAACGTTAAATGTTCACTCGTATAAAAGACAACTGACAGTTTGTATATATCAACGCCGGAAAGCCGGAAAGAAAATAGGACGTTACACTACGGCCGAAAACGTATATCAAAAAATTATTTCTCATTAATTTGAATTAGTAAAAAGAAATGTTTTTTTTTAATTGACTTTCTAATAATTCAAATTAAAGAGAAATAATTTTTTGAAATAGTTTTTCGGCTCCGGTGTAACGTCCTATTTTTCGAGATACGACAAGATCGCTCTCCGGCGTCGATATGTTCTGCAGGGCTAAAAAGGCCGCATTGTTAGAATCGCACTACGATTAATTGACATTTCATATTATGAATTTTCAAACAAAACAAAAAACGCAATTCATGATGATGAATTGCGTTATATGAATTGTAAGAATCTCAATATGAATTGTCAATTAATCATATTATCATTCTGCCAATACGGCCTTTTTAGCCGTGCTGTTATATAACTTCGAGAATGTTGCATTCAAAGTAGTATTTCACTATTTTTATATATCAAAGTATAGAAATTAGGACATAGACAGACGTACAACGTGTTAGGTGTAATAATCGGTAATGCACTAGTAACCAATTCTGGCATAACGTTTAGTTAAGGGTGGAGCCCCACTTGTCGGCACATATCACCACTGCAACATCAGCACGTTTCAGAATAGAGCATGATGTTGGCACACGACAAAATGGAGTGTATGTGTGCTGCCACTAAAGGTCCGGCCGTAATATTTATGCCATAATTGTTACTAGAAATGTTAAATAATTACAGAAATCATTGAAGACCGATGAGAATTTTCTGAAATAATCCCGTTCTTGTGCAAAAAAATTACGCGTTCATTCCTTTGGAGTGATATTTTGAAACTTAAGTGTATCGTAAGAAATCCTATTTTGCACGCTCTTCAAAATTATAGACGTGTGTGATTTTTTTTTAATCCAAAACAGGTTAAATTTACTCTTTTATTGTCATAGCGGTATAATTCAAAATTATTATATTTGCAAAACAGTGAGTGTTTTCCTTTTAATAGGAAATTGCCGCCCCCTGTAGACATTTCAAACACTAACACTGAACCTTCTACCTATCACAACTAACTTGTCAAGGGTGTTGGCTTGCCGGTGGCCAGTATGACTGTTGGAAGTGCCCTGACCATCGAGTATATAACCATAAATAAATACGAAATAAGGGCCATCCATCCCTGGTAACTCATCAGGGGCCATCCATCCCTGGCACCTCATCAGGGACCTTATATCCTTTTAAATATCAACTCCCCTTTGCGCTGAAATCACAAATTAGGAAACTGAAGTGGTACAACTCCAATAACTGGCCTGTGTGTACGTCTCCGTATATTCTAAAAATATTCTATATTTATTGTAATAAAGTTAATATCTCTAACAATGGGGGGTTGTTCCATTCGGTAATGTGGGAAAACAGCAAAACATCTAATTACAAAACAAACGGAATCACATTTCATCGGTAATTAAATATAACTGGTCGATTTGAAGTGAAACAATTGACGACGGACGGGTGTCCGAATTGTTTCAAATTCGGGCTGGCCAATCGGAGCGTAGTTGTCACCATAATGATTTGGCAGAATAGTTTCAAACAAATTGAATGACATTTCGTCTCTATTTCTGGGTATATACTCGATGGTCCTGACCATCTGAAGCGACCAGCTTTGATGCTTGCATGCCAACGTTTTTGCCCGTAATCGGTACAGACTGTAAGAGTAGGTGAGATTTGGGTAGGCACTATCGCTCTCTAGCCGACTGCCTCCGCCGTCGCCTACGCCGCTAGAGCTCGTGGTTTGTCTAGGCTTGTACCGCCACATGACCAAAATAACCTAGAATCGTTACTAACATATCGTTGAGAGTGGATTTAACTTGAAGTTATTTTAGGATAGATCTGTTAATCTTCATAGCGGTCCATGTTAACCGGCTACAAACACGCATCCTCCTCTAATATGATATTTCGAAGGATTTTTGCCCTTGTTGAAATGGTTTGAAGGGTAGGGTTAGCGAATTTTTGCACAATAATATTTTCATAAAATCATTGTCGGTCTTTATTAACTCTGATGACATATAGAACCTAAATACCTCTATTAAAAACACCAGTTAGGTCTTAAGTATTGCCTGGATCTATTTTAGTTAGGTGTTAGGACATAGCTAGACTTAAAAGATTGGGTCTAAAGAAGGACATTGGATCAGCGAAATTATAAACATTAGCGAGTATATTATCAATTAGTATGGTTTTTAAATTATCAAACTCGATATGTTCTGTGGTCTATCCATGTGCGAGACATTACTCTAGACGAGAGGGTTGTTCACATTGTTTCATCATAGGGTGTGTGCAGGAAAAGATGTCAGGAACGAAGGGTTGAAGTCTCTTAAAAGAAATTTACAATCATTTTAAATTTCTACTTTTGTCCGAACACAGTATAATCAATTCATCTACACGTGATAAAAATTACACATAAAGTTGGACAAAAAAAACACTGTCCATTTTTTTCCCGTGCATAAGATTCAGTAATAGAACACATTGGTGAAATAAAACAATTTCCACATTTTTTCCACAAATTCCACAGTTCCAATAAATTTTATAAATATCATTAAAATTATCGTTAATAAAATTATCAATCTTAATTATCACTTGGAACCCTGGTTAATGGTCATGATCGCATGGTAGCCAAAAATGGTAATTAAAAGTGGCCATGATATGGCTACTTGTTTATCATTGTTTGTTGGTTAAAAAAGATAGTCACAGAATTGAAAACCAAAGTTGGTTACAGTTGCAGGACGACGAATGCTTGGCTTGTATAAAGCAATAACTAAACGCTATACAGTAGTATTTATTAATATAATAGATAAAACTGGTGCTAATTTTAGTTTTTCCCTTATACTAAATTTAGTTTAATTCGCATGCGTTGCTATTTCGCCAGATTGCTCAACGCTGAGCCAAGAAGCATCGAGTATTTACGTCATACGTCTTGTAATTAAATATCGTATTAGTGACCTAGCATTGGGCATATTTTTCAAGACTATGTATCATATGCGTTATATTCTTATATAAACGAGGGTAATTAGTTATGTGAAAATACCGCAACTGCTTGTTTTAAAACTTAATTTAGTTTAATAAGGGTCGAAACACAACTGCAAATCGGTGCTGCAAAAGTGCGACGCGAATTGCTGCAATGCAAAATTTCGTGCGGCAAGGCATCTCCCTACCATGGTCGGGTAACCATTCCTTCGTCGATCGTCAACCGTACTGAACGTATTTTTTAATCTAGGTAGCGACATGAATCGCAAAAAGAGTGTTTCACTACTGTTATTGACAAGAAAGTATAGGAAAAAAGACAAAGAGAATCCTCTTCGTCGTAAGAATGCGCCATGCGGAGCAATTTGCAATTTCTTGTGATGCGTCGTGCGAGGTCCTAGGTTTCTGCGACGTCGCATAGCAGTTTTGTGTTTCGACCTATGCGGGAAATTAAATCTGCACTGGTTCAATTCTGTTATTTACACGTCGTAATCCAAACTAATTTGGCAGTTCTAAAAAGAATCCGTTTTTTTTGCATTAGCGGAAGCGTTGACAACCATTTTTAAAACATAGACTTGGAATACAGGTGGTGAAAAATGTGTGAAACTTTTAATTTTTTTTATGGAATTTATATTCAATCCTCAAAATCATACTTTTCTCATCGAATTATAATAAGATCGTAATTATCAATGTAACAATATTGCAGTTTAAAATACACAATAATAGTGTATCTCTTTGACTTGAAGATCGTTCGCCATAATTTTTATATTATTAGGGAAGGGACCTCAACACAGTAACATGAGGCAGTTTGAACATATACAAAACCAAAGCTAATTCTCTTCGTATTCATGACCCCTACTTCATTGCAGCCTACCAGAATACATAAGATAAATCAGAGCATAAAAAGGATATAAACCGTATGACCTTAAATATAAATATCATGTAAATTACTTCTGTATACCTTCCAACATTACATAATATTTAATTTCACTAGGTGCATTGCATTCAAGATAGCTTCTTACTAAAGTATTGTATTATGCCTCTATTGTATTTGTAAAACCAACCTTATTATACAGAGAAAGACATTTGGTGTCACACATCTGGTATTCCAAGTCTGTAAACCAAATTTTTAGTTTAGTTTAACGTAATGTGAATAACAGAATTGTATTCCTTAACAAAAATAGATCCAGGACTAAATTGCCAATAGCAATAAACAAATTTACACTAATATTTACACAATGTAAATTCTTACATTAACATGTTCATTGTAGCACTTGTGCTGTGACGGCGTGGTTTGTCCAAAGAATCAGAGAAGGGTGTCAAATGGTTGTCATCTTGTCTTTTGTTGGATATAAGCACCCGGCAACTAGAAGCGAATATTATATTAGGTTGCTGCAACCGGCATCGATCTTGTGTAGAAATAAAATACTCGCAACTAGTTGCCGATTTCGTGTATCCAACACAAGACATACATTCGCGCGACCCCATTGTCTATAAAAGTTATACTGCCACCGGAAGAAAGAAAGACGCAAGTAACAAATTCGAAATTCGGAGATAATTGAGTTTAAAGATTTAGAATATCAATCAGTAAGTTGGTTCTGATCTGGGTGTACTGTAGGACACATTGGAGAAATGGAGAGACTCCAGAGGCGTCGGGAAGTGAGCGTGCCATACAGCTCCGCCACCAAAGAGATAGTCAACGGCTTAACGGTGACAATCGTTAGTTTTACAATGCACAACGGGAAGTGAGCGTGCCTACAGCTTCGGTGCCTCTTCGGAAAATAGGGAGGGTGCTGGACGTCAACGGTCTGTGACAACCCTGTACACTGGCTGATCTGGGTTCAGAACCTGAACTTTGAAGGTTCCTGTGCACGCACAGGTTATAGTGCCCTTCTCGTATACCCTAAGGGTCGGTAGGGAGGGTCACTGTGATCAAAACTGATATAGAAAGATATGGGAGCTGAAGGAAACTATAGTCCA